TTTCCCACAACTCCATGCTAAGTGCATCATATGTAGCTCCATCGTGGCCCCTGAAGAACTGATGGCCATCCTGGTGCCCACATCTTAGGAGGCATAAGACTGAGAGCATTGCCGTATTTTCTGCATGTTTTACCATCTTTCAGGGAAGAGTGACTCTCAGGAGGTCCTCTCAGGGTAGCTGAGAATCCTGGCATTTTCCTCTATAAACATTGCAGACATCTGGCAGGGTTGCTGTTTAAGCTTCTGCCTTCCAGCTGCTCTCTCCTCTCCCGCAAGCCGCTAAATGCAGAGTGGATTGGAACTTGGCACGCAGTCCTTTTCCCAATCCCCTGTGAATTTACTGTGAAGGCAGATAAACACCCTGCCTACAATAAACAGTAGGCAGAGAAGCTGTAGCTTTAGAAAGCAGCTGTGGCAAAGTCACAGTGGCAAGCATCAGTTTAGGAATGACACATTTCCCCATCATATCATGGGAAATAATTTTCACGCAAGATGGTAATATACTGTACGTTTATTTACAAATCTCCCATTTCTCTTCCAAGCTAGAAATATTTTTGGATTACTATACAAAAGGAGGATTACTGCTTTGATGCCTTGCAGGGCTAAACAGCTATGTAACAACATTGTTGTTATCACCTTCTATCTACACGGCTCTTTACATTTTCCAAAGAGTTTCACTCACAAATGCCTTCTTATTTGATCTGCACATAAATTTGGTGGAATTGGGCACCCATCTCATAAGTGAGGAACCTCTGGGTCAAATGATTTAAAAGCCTGGCTAGAGGGCACCCAGGGATGTGCAGAGCTGGAACTACAGTTCAGGTCTCCTGACTCTCCCTCCTGTGTTCCTCATCAATCATTGTTCCTAGGACCACATTTCAGTTCAATTCATCTCTGACTTATTGACTGCCTGCTGTGTATCAAGCACTCTGAAAGTGCTAGAGATGGAAAAAACTGCCCTGAAGAAATTCATAGTCTAATAGAGAAGTAGAAATGTGAGTAAATAATGCCCCTGCGGTAAGGTGCAATGGATGTGTAAGGGAAGAGTGTTTAACTCTGCTAGGTGAGCCAGGGAAGTTTCTCGGAGAAAAAAATACTTGACTGATGACTAGAAACGTGCCAGTCTGATGTGAGGAATGAGAGGCGGGAACTCCTGGGCTCCAGTGATCCTCCCATCTCAGCTTCCTGAGTAGCTGGAACTACAGGTGTGCCACAGCACCTGGCTGGCTTCTTTCTTATTGTCTAAATTAACTTGTTACAGTTACATTAACAGAGTCAGTGTTTTACTCAATTCACACCATTATCCAAGATGAAAGAAAATAATAAAGACAGCTCTTATCATGTGTCAGGGAGTATTCTGAGCACTTAAATGTATTAACTCATTAATTCTAGCAACGATGTGAAGTAGGTACGATAATCTCTACAAATAAGGAAAGTGAGCCCCAGCGAGGTTAAGTAATTTGCATTACTGGCTTCCTGGAGCCTCTTACTCAGAGAACTTTTTAGTTCAAAACAAAATGATGTCATATCAAACATTTTTATGTAGCATGCTACAAATTTTATGCACCCTTTAAAAACACTCCTCATGTACTTTTTGTTCTGGTAATACTGTGCTACTTGTAGTTTATCAAACCTAGCCTCTCTCATACCTCTGTGCCTTTTCACATGCTATTTCTCTCTGCCTTGAATACTCTTCCACTCCACCCCCAACCTCAGAAAATTTTTATTCCTTTCTTCGAGATTCAGTTCTGACATCCTCCTGCCACCCACAGCTGAGCCTTACAGCCTCCCTTAATTCCCCAGCCTCCTTGAAAGCAGGAACCAAGACTTTTTCTACCTTTACCCCTGGTACCTAGTACAGTGGCTGCTATTGAATGGCGTCTCCATAGTTGTTGAATGAGTGAAATAATGGACTCAATGAATAAATGAATGTGTTCTATTAAATGCTTAAAGCTATAATTAACTTTTGAATGCCTTGCTAAAGAAAATCAGCTGTGTCATACGATGTTCTATAGAATAACATTCCTTACAGTTATGTTACAGAGTTGGTTGACAGATGTGATATTGCTTCCTTCACCTCGTAGATCCTCACCAAGGATTCAGTGACAGTTAGCGTAGATGGTGTGGTCTATTACCGCGTTCAGAATGCAACCCTGGCTGTGGCAAATATCACCAACGCTGACTCAGCAACCCGTCTGTTGGCACAAACTACCTTGAGGAACGTTTTGGGCACCAAGAACCTCTCTCAGATCCTCTCTGACAGAGAAGAAATTGCACACAACATGCAGGTGAGGAATGCATCCACACGATTATCCACGAAAAATTGAAAAATGTAGCAAAGAGTCAATGGTTGTTTGAGAATCTTTTATTAATTCAAGTTAGGGGATCCCTGGCCTTTTTTTCTTCATAGTAAAGTTTTCCAAATTTGATGTGGGGGGACATTTTTCACATTAGCAGCTCATGGGTTAGTAACACTCAGATGTGTGCTTTTTTTTTATTCCCTCCAGTGTTTATTTTTTTCCCCAGAATCAGTATTACCCTTTTTGTTTAGCAAATACTTCGGAGTTTGTTGTACATGACAGTGCATGTATTGTTAAAGCTTTTTTCTGTGTGTGAATCCCGTGAATTCCCTTATAACTGTTAGGCTTTCTAATCTTGCTTGAGTAATTGATGCTGAGTTAAGCCAGACTTGTTCAGAAAAGATAAAGTGCTATAAATCTGAATTCTTATTATTTGTTCATTGTGAGTAAAATGTATGAACTTATTTGATATCCATAACAACTTATGACATAGACAGCATGGTTTCATGCCTGCCATTCTAAAGGGAGGAAGTTGAAGCATAAAGAAGTAATATCGCTCACACAGGGTCACATTAGCTCAGGAGTTGGCAAACTGTCTCTCACAGGCCACTGTTTTTGTAAATAAAGTGTCATTGGAATACAGCCATACCCATTTATTTATGTATTATCCTTGGCTGCTTTTGACTACAACAGCGAGGCCAGATAGTAGAGACAGAGACTGCAAATAAACAACCACTACATGGCCCTTTTAAAGGTTTACCAACCCCTACATTAGCTTGTTAGTGACAAATCAGGATCAGCTGCCCAGTGACTCAGCCCCTGCTTCAGAATTCCTTCCACCGTAGGGTAACTGTCTGTCTACGACTCTCCCCCCAGCACCGTACCTGCTCCGAATCCCAATGAGTACAGCCACAGTAGGCGTCTAGGCTGGGCCATTTGTAGCTTACCTGTCTCTTCCCAACAGTGTACTCTGGACGACGCCACCGATGACTGGGGAATAAAGGTGGAGCGTGTGGAAATTAAGGACGTGAAACTACCTGTGCAGCTCCAGAGAGCTATGGCTGCAGAAGCAGAAGCATCCCGGGAGGCCAGAGCTAAGGTAACGTTGTGGTTTTGGGGGCTTGTTTTTCTTATTGAGTTTTCTAATTACAGAAAAAGTAAAACATGCTTGTTATAAAAAATTAAAATAATGCTGAAGTGATCAGTAAAGGTGAAAGCCCTCCCCATCACTTCGATTCATATTCCCCCAGAGGCCACCACTTAGTTTAGTGTGTTTTGATCTTATTTGACTAGGTTGTTGGATTATTGGCTTGTTTTACAAAAGTAGGGTTACACTGTACATGTTGTTCTTCACTGTACATTTTCCACTTAATATCTCATGAGCGTATCAGTACGGAGTTACCTCATTCTTTTGTAACTGCATGCCCCATGCTTTATTCTCCCAATTCGTTATTAAGGACAGATTAACGGGTAATGTCTTCATTCCATCCACACCATCTGTTCTTACTTTTGACTTCTCTTTCACTCTCACTTCTCTCAGGATCTTCTTCCTCCCTACTGTTTCCTCCTCCTCCCTTTTCCTCCTCTTTATTTCTCTTTTTTTGACATCTGCTTGTTTCCTCTTTGTTTTCATCATCATCCCTGCCTATGTCTTACCCCTGTATGGGTGGCATGGCCCCTCTGGGACATGCTAAGGAAATATTTGTGAAGCTAGCTAGAAAAGAGAATCTTGTAAGATGATATATTTAATACACAGATACGTGGATAGCTCACCAAACCCGAGGGTAGCAAGTAGAGTCAAACCTCACCAGAATTGGAGCCAGGACCCAGAAAGCAGTCAAGACTGAAGGGAGTTAGTCATTCCCTTTCCTGGGTCACATCTCACCGTAGATACCTTGTGGTAAAGAATCTGACTGCCAAAGTTACGTGTCTGCCCAGGTGAACACTAAAGGAGACAGACCAGCCCTAATTCCACATTGACAGAAGAGAGACTCTCTTTGATCCAGCTTTGGTCAAAGGGCAAAGTCAGATTCTGTTGTGGTCCGGTAGCCCCATGCCTGTGGTTGGGGGAGGAAGAGCAGCCATTTTCATAGGAGCAGTTGCTGTGGACTTGACAAATCTCCCAAGATACAGAGTAAACCAATTTATTAGTAGAAATTGGTAGCAGCTGGTGATAATTGACGAACCACAGAACCTTGTCTTCTTAGGATGCCCTTTGAGCCCCAAATTGGTCACTATCATTTTTTAACCCACATCAAATGGAAAAGTAGCTCATTTGACATGCTGCCTCCAGAATTTTCCATTAACCAGAATTTTTAGGTTTTCCTAATATGATAATTGATGCTTGTGATGATAACCTGGTGATACCGCAGAACCCTCGAGTGCCTTCTTTCAAAACCATCACATTTAGAAGATTAAATTATATTTATGATGTTATTAAATGTACCCTAATATCTGATTCTTTTGAAAATTAGAAATTCCTTTTACCTAGAATCTGTCATTAATCAAAAAGCCCCATTCCCAAGCCATAATGAATAATAGAATTTAGCAAATACATAGATGATATAAAATGTCAGCACCTGAAGACTCCTCAGAGCTTGTCTTCCAGAAGTGACAAATACCTAGCACAGATGCTGCCACTCCATCCTCCTATTCCCATGCCAGTAATTAACCACAGCACTGCTTTCCACTGAGCTTAGACTGGGCCTCAGAACCCTCTGTAGCGGTCCAGGTAACAACCCTCACCTGCTTAGAGTTAGCCCTAAGAATGAAAGTTGTTTGCCATTCCACTATTCAAATAAAAAATTGAAGCTCAGAAAAGTTAAGTGATTTCCTCAAGGTCGCCCAGTTGATCAGTAGCAGGGGAAATTAGAATTCCCCTCTGCTCCCCACTGCCTCCTCTAGGACTACCCAGGAAGAGCTGGGCCTCTTCCACAGCGTTCTCACCAGTTTGGAAAGAGAGTTCCTATCTTCCCTTTATAGCAAATAAGAGAAGATAAAGGAAGCCAGTTAGAATTCTGGATTGCCATGCTCCTGCTTGGATGAGGCCGTAGGGTTAGTCTGGAAGCAGTTTCATGAACCTGGACAGTGACTGTCTTGTCTGTAAGGTTAGGGTTTATCCAGAGAACCATAATGAGCTTAGCCATTCTGTAATATAAAACACAGTAACCCTGCAACAACCATAGGCTTATTTTGAAAGTTCTCGTGGAAAATAAGGGGTCACAGTTTCTTCAACAAATAAATTGCAGAGGAAAGGAGAGATAGGGCGAGGGAGCCTATAGATTAAGAGACTTCAGGGAGAAATTCCTTAAGTTAATTAGCCATCAAGGAAATGCAAATTCAAATTACAAGCAGATGCCACACTAGACATCCACCAGAATGGCTTGAAAATAAAAAAGAAAACCAAGTGTGGGTGAGAGAGGAACTAGAACCCTTCATATTCTGCTGGTGGGAGTGTAAATTGGTACACTTTGGAAAACAGTCTGGCAGTATCTACCAAAACTGAGCATTTGTATACCCTATGAGCCAGTTGCTCCACTCCTAAGTACATATCCAATAGAAATGCGCTCATATGTTTACCAAAAGGCATGTACTAGAATGTTCACAGCAGCACTTTGTAATAAATGTCCATCACTAGCCTAATGGATAAAGTGTGGTTTATTCACACGAGGGAATACTACATAGCAAGGAGAGTGAACACGTCTCACTGTGATGAAGCTTGTGATGAAGAATGTCTGACTGCCAAGGTTACGTGTCTGCCCAGGTGAGCACTAAAGGAGACGGACCAGCCCTAATTCCACACTGGTAGAAGAGAGATTCTCTTTAGTCCAGCTTTGGTCCTAATATGGATCTGACTGAGCCCTCTGAGTGAAAGAAGTCAGTCACAAAAGAGGACATATTATCCCACTTGCTTTACTGTATATTCAGCAAACCTCTTTTTAAAGTCTTTGGGCCAACTCTTAACAGCTTGAAATGTAATCTTTTGTGCTTGCATTTTTCCTTATTTCCTTTTCATAACTCAGAAAAATGCCCGGCATGTGCTTTCAGGCTCATATTTCTGGGCCTGGCAGTCTATTAATTGAGAGGGCGGAGTGCAAATACACAGATCACCTCTCTCTGTCCTTCCTCTGACCAGCCCGTCCGGTCTACAGAAGGGAACAGGAAGTACCAATCTCACATATATGAAAATGCCAGATTTCAAAATGATGATCTATAAATATAAAGTGTTGATTGACATGGGATTACTGCACATTTGACAAAGCCCCGCACACCCACAAATAGCTTGCGTTGCTCCCTAAGATGCTGTCAGCAGAATGTACTTGGCCTATACTTAGACAAAGCCAGTGGTGTTGTGTTCACATCTTTGGCAGCTTGCTCAGAGCAGCTTTTCTATGAACAAAATGTGTGCCCAGCCCAGTGGGTCCGGCTTCCCAGCCAAGAGATTGTGTTTTGATTGGTGGTGGGAAACGAGGTATCTTTGCAGTTGTTCCATGTCCAGACAAAAAAAGTGCTTAATTGGATATCTGAGATGACATGGAAAAAAATCAGAGCCTGCTGCTCTCGTGGCAGGGGATTATTGACGCACTCTCTACAGTGCTTGCCTTGGAATACAGTTCTGCGGCTCTCTGTGAGCATACCTGGCGCTTGTCCCTTCTCACAGGTCTAGGTAAGACATGATGGGTAGGCTTATAAATTAAGGTTTTTATCCTGTAGATTCTCTCTCTCAGTAAGTAGCGTAGCCTGTGTGCCCTGTCTCCGTTAATGGCATTAACCCATGCAGCCAAAACCTAGAAACCTGGGACTCAGCCTCTGTTGCCCTTTCCTCCTCATACCCAGTCTCAATTCTAGTGATTCTCCGTCCTGAAGAGCTCACTAATCCATTTTATTCTCCATCACGCTGAAGCAGGTCCACTAACAACTCTCAACCCCTTCTATCCCCAGACATCCGTCAGAGCGTTTTCTCAAACTAGCTCTGCTGGAGGTTACTTATCTCCTAGAGCCATTTGGCAGCTTCCCCATGCTGCAGAGCCAAGACCAGACACTGCAGAGCCAAGACCAGACACCCCGCCTTCACTGCCCTCGGACCCGCCTTCCCTACTTCCTCACACAGCCACTTACGGTTTTCTGGAATATGCCAGCTTTTTATACCTCAGTACCACTTCATGTGTCCTGCCTAAAATGTTCTTCTTTATCTTTGTCCAAATGGCAGACATTTCATCCTTAACCTCACCACCTTACTCTCTGTAAAAGTTGCTTTCTCTTTGCCAGCACTGCGCTGTGCCTTGCACATGTTCTGTCAGCATTCATCACACTGGAGGGAGAGAGTCTGTTTCCATGCCTGTCTTCCCTGCGTGACCAGGAGCTGAAGGAGGCTGGGGACTCCAGTCTCTATCCCTAGTTCCTACACAGGGCTCATTAACACCTAGAAGGCCCCCAAAGTTTGCTGCATAAGTGAATAAAATAATAAAATGTCATCGGGCGTAAGACCATTGCTTCCAATTCCGATATTCCCAGAGTATTGTGAACCATTAATATTTTGAGATACATGTGAGGATAACCTGGTGAAACTATACTTTTAATCTTGATGATTATGGTATCTTTACACCTTTTCTTCTCCTAGAATTATGAATGAAAGTAACTGCCTTGAATCTTTTGTGCATTAAGGCGTAGTTGGACCCAAAAATCAGATCTTGACTTGTCACTTACCATTTCCGTATAGTGACCTCCATCTATTCATGGAGCACTTTATATGCCTTCTCTATCTTCCTCACAATGGTCCTATGAAGTAACTGGTAGCCTGTGTTAAGATTGAGAAACTGAGGTTCAGGATGTTAAATAACCTCTCTGGGGATATTCGGCTAGTAAGTGTTAGGTTTGGGACTTGAGCTCTAGTCCATTTAACTACAGAGCCCCTGTTTTCTCCACCACTCCAGTGATCTTCAAACTTTTTTTTGCCTGTATAACTCCTTAAAGAATTTTTAAAATCGATATATCCCCTCACACATTTTTTTAAAAGTCTCTTCCATTTTTGGACCATCACACATTTTTATCAATAAATTGGCATGTAAAAATTTTCATACTGAATGTATATACTTACATTCCTGGCATGTTATAAATATTGACATTTTAAAATAAAACGGTTAACATCATTCTTTTAAATGTATCCAGTGAAATTTAAATAATAATGATTTAATTATCTATTTAAAAGTATATGATAAGCTTTTTTTAACCGTCAGAAATTTTTTATTGTTTCTTTTTTCTTCTTAAAGTTAAATTTCCATTCTAACTCCTGCACAGATTCTCTTCCTAGTATATTTTGTCATGAATTATTTTATTATTCTATTATAACACATTTAGGCTATAAGTTAGAAATAATTTTTTAATACCCTGTGAGTACAAACAAGGTTTTATAAAAATTTCAGAATTTCTCCTATGTAAACAATAAATTTTTACTAGAAATGCTTCTCTTAATGAGATGAATGAGGAATGAAATCATACATGTATGGATGGCTATTACTTGTTGCTAGAATGAGACAGGATTCAGTATCAATTTTATTCCTATTTTTCATTTTTATAGAGATGAGGACTAAGAAACCTTGTTTATATGTATAAATAGATGGAGATGGAAGTTTTGTTTATAGTAATGTTATGCAATCTTACCACTCCCTTTGAATTTATGTGCTAAAAAATCATATGGCAGTCTTTCGTCAAAAAATATTTTTAATTAGTTAACAACTTTCTTCAGTAAGCTCTTCTTTCCTTCCTTTGAAATCAAAGAATTGGAAATGTACCTGACTGGCAAAAGAATTTGTATCCGGTCCTTAAAGTCATTCACTTTCTCAATCCCACACAGTATTTTGAATTGTTTAGTACCCTGTGAAATGGGAGAAAGGCCATAGTAAAAGAGAATGTTTTGACCCCGGCATATTCTCAGGCAAATCACTTTTAGGAAAAAGAACACATGTAAATTGAGTATGTAGAAATTGATTTCCTTAAAACTATTCTGACGTACTCCCTGGAAAGTTTTGTGTATCACCTGAAGTATACATGCCCCAGTTTGAGATTGCAGCATGTCACCATATGGTTTTCTCCAGTTTGGCCTCTGCTTTCCCCTGTCCGTAGGTCATTGCAGCTGAAGGAGAAATGAATGCATCCAGGGCTCTGAAAGAAGCCTCCATGGTCATCACTGAATCTCCTGCAGCCCTTCAGCTCCGATACCTTCAGACACTGACCACCATCGCGGCTGAGAAAAACTCGACGATTGTCTTCCCTCTGCCCATAGATATGTTGCAAGGCATCATAGGGGCGAAACACTGAGCCATACGGGCCAGCACAGAGATGAGCTCTACCCTTCCAGGGATGAAGTGGGGGACCAAAGTAGCCTTTAATTCATAAGGAGGGGGTAGGGCAGGGAACCTCGCATATTCTCCCTCCCTTTCCCTTTCCATATGTCACGTGGTGTTCTTAGAATGTATAGTAACCATGGAAACAGATGAAGGCATCGTTAGCTTGTAAATACTGAAAGAGGGAGAGAGAGATTGGTGATTTATGTAAGTAATCTCTTACTCTTTAGAATAATTAAATGTTTGTATTTTTAGATTATTATGTAGTAGGTTAAATCCTACTTCATTTGACTTCCATTGAGTCATTCTGAACCCTCTAGGCAGCCAGGCCAGAGGCAAGAACGTAGACTCTAACTGCCGCCTGACACCCCTGGCTAGATAAATGCTTTGCAGAAAGTGATGACCTTATGCTACAACCAGCTTCTCTGGGTCACATGTGCCTTACCTCCAGGGAGTCTTAACTAAGGAAATTTGCCTAATATCCATTTACTTTTTAAACACAATGTTTCAGAATAATCCTCACTTGAGAGTAGGCCTTTTCTTGCCTCCTGTCAGAATTAGAAGAAATGGTCAAGATTGATGAAAAAGATTACCTTAGCCTTTTGAAGATTTTTCAATTCTATTATAGTGCTCCTTTTTAAAATAATATCTTCATCTTTTTTAACTTCTTTGAGCCTTCTTTATGAGCAAATGATTCCTCTGTGGTCTTTCAAACCAGCCAAATATTTGTCGCAAAGTGCTTTTTTCTCACTTTTGCCTATTTTCATATATCAGGTTTTAAATAGTTTTAATTTTTTAATAAAATTTTCTCAAAGTTCTATAAGCAGTTTATATACCCATTTGAATAGCTTAAGGACTAAAATACTTTTTAAAAAATATCTTCAGGAAATAATTATATTTTACTGTCTACATGCTATTAACTCTTGTACGTTGTGAAATATCTTGGTTACAAGCCGATTCGTTAAGTAGTGTAAGGAATTCACAATATATTGGCACATAATGGCTAATGAGCTTGGGCAGACACTGTCAGACTTAGGCTATCTGTGTAGATGTAGATCTTTGTTCTTTGCCTAGTCATTCTTGATCATATATATTGATACTGAAAAAGGAAGTGGTCAGCCCCCCTGGACCACAGTTTCTTGGTCTGTAATATTAGAAAACACCTTCCATTTTGCAAATGCCCATGAATCTGAGCAACCTGGCATTCTTCCTACTGGCCTGGAAAGCTGGCTGGTGACATTTGTAACACTTCCTCTTTGAGACTCTGAGTTTACCTAGAGAAATCTAAGAATAACAGTTTCCTTTCCCAGCACCACACTTCATATCTGTCCTCAGCTTAATCACTCTGTCAATCCCAGCATGTGGATGATGTCCCTTTCCCTACACCCCATTTCCAAGCTTATTTTGGAAAGCCTTGAACCACCATGTGTCCTGGTTCCTAGCTGAGTTTATTAGAAGTGTATGAAGCATTTCAACTTGGAACTCAAGTTGCATTTATATCTTGAATTTTAAAATGGCAGTTTCATCTGTTTTGTGAGGTGGCTCACCCTGGACCACTGAGGACCAGGAAACCCCTGTCCCGGATGAAAATCTCTTCTCAGATTTAAAGTAACAATGCTTTTGGTTCTTTGAGTTTCCCTATCTCCAATACCAAATGACCTTCACTTTCTGCCCTGTGGTTGAAATCAAATCTCTTGGGAGGTAGGAAGCACAGAAGGAGCTCTAGGACGAGAGGGTTGGTGCAAGAGTTTTATCAGGTGGCCTCCCTTTCCAGCAGTGTACATAATAAAGTGTGTATACTTTAGCTAATTTTCTTTGGGTGAGAGTCTGTTTCTATTTGTATTTGGTGTATGTGGGTTTCAGTTTTCAGAAATGGGACAGCAGATCCTCCCGTTCTGAGCTGGCTGCCTTGGCTTCTTCATGTGCTCTTTGTGGCCCAGAGGAAGGGGAGGGACCAATCTGCCATCTCCCACGTCCAGGCTCAGGAGCAGAGCCGGGATTCAAACCCAGATCTGTCTAATGCCAAAGACTTCTAAGGTGTATCAGTTTGTCTTCATGTGACACTGCCTCCTTCCACCGCCCCATACACACACCACCACCACCAGTCATCTTATAGGTAGATCACAGCTTTTCTTTTTTTTTCCCTTTCTTTTTTTTTTTGACACAGAGTCTCACTCTGTCGCCTGGGCTAGAGTGCCATGGCGTCAGCCTAGCTCACAGCAACCTCAAACTCCTGGGCTCAAGCGATCCTCCTGCCTCAGCCTCCTGAGTAGCTGGGACTACAGGCATGCGCCACCATGCCCGGCTAATTTTTTATATATATTTTTTTTAGTTGTCCAGCTAATTTCTATTTTTTTAGTAGAGACAGGGTCTTGCTCTTGCTCAGGCTGGTCTTGAACTCCTGAGCTCCCTCCCAGAGTGCTCGGATTACTAGATCACAGCTTTTCAAGACTGTCAAAGTTTATTTGCCCTTACATTCATAACCAAGCAGGCCCTAAACTTAAACTTTAGTTTTGGTCTATCTAATCTAGCCAAAGTTCAGTACAAGTGAGGAGAATCGATTGGGTGTTTTTAACCACAACATGTTGCAATACACTGGCCCGAGCGGGAGGAAACCACAGTTCCACGGACTTTGAGCCTTTCAAACTGTATCATCTCTTGAGATCTGCACAATAGCAGGTCACTTGGCTGGTGATAGTGAACCCAGTGCCCTTTGTACTCATCAGTGGTTTTCAAACTTCCTTTAGCAGCAAACCCCTTTTATCAAAGGAAACCGTACGCTGGTAAAGGATTTAAAGTGTCTTTAACCTAGGTAAATTATGTTCACATTTCTGACACTGACTTAATGTAAAGTAAATCAATGAGAACCATGAGGCTATTTCAAAAATCAAAAATAATATTAATTGAATTATGAAAGAGTTACAATCTTAAATCAGGCTCTATGTTCAATTAATTTCTTCATTTTGCTTCTAAGTAGCTGTACTTTTGATTACCACTTTAAAGATGGAATTTGAATCAAATATCTATAAAATCACAGAAGTACCTTTTAGAATTCTACAGATCCCGGTTTGAAAATCACTGCCCTTGAGTGCTTTTCCTGCTGTAAATCCAACTTATAATGTGATCTCAGATAAGTCATATCTCCTCTCACCTCATTTTCCTCACCTGTAAAATAAGGAGCTTGTAGTCTCAGGCTTTTCGAGAATGTGTTGGAAGCTGCAGCGCTTTGTCTGAAAATTTCACAATGGGGTGTCGATACACAAATTTGCATACTTTAGGAGGTACATGGACCCCACTACCAGGCCTATCCAAAGACTTAAGAACCACTGAACTAGGCCGGGCGAGGTGGCTCACGCCTGTAATCCTAGCACTCTGGGAGGCCGAGGCAGGCGGATTGTTTGAGCTCAGGAGTTCGAGACCAGCCTGAGCAAGAGCGAGACCCCCGTCTTTACTAAAAAAAAAAAAGTAGAAAGAAATTATCTGGACAACTAAAAATATGTAGAAAAAATTAGCCAGGCATGGTGGCGCATGCCAGCTACTCGGGAGGCTGAGGCAGCAGGATCACTTGAGCCCAGGAGTTTGAGGTTGCTGTGACCTAGGCTAACACCACGGCACTCACTCTAGCCAGGGCAACAGAGTGAGACTTTGTCTCAAAAAAAAAAAAGAACCACTGAACTAGATCATCTCTAAGACCCTTTCTAACTTCAAAACCATAGTTACCGGAAGAGCTTTTAGTTTGTAGGAACTAAGGCAAAGGGAACCACAATTGTGTGCCAAGCCCTGTGCAAGGCACTTTACACATCTGCGTTTGTTTCCATTTATAATCTCATTTGGCTGCACCATCCAGCCATGGGGAAATCCCTGCAATCTTTGGGGTTATCAGGGACAGTCTCTTACTGTGATAATGATAACATCAGGTCCACAGCAAATCCAGGCTCACATCAGGCTAGGATTGACCTAAAGGAGTCCTACTTGCTAACAGGATGCAGCCCTTTTCAATCTACCCTGTAGCCACAAGAGTTTGGTGAGAAAGGAAATTGAAACCACTGTTAAAACTGAGGCTTTAGAAAGATACTTAGGAACTATAACGTAGGCTGCAAATCTTCCCTAAAAAATTCTGGGAAAAAATTGGCTGGAAATTGAGCTCTCTGAAAATTACTAGATGCCACAAGGCAGTAGGGAACCATTATTACCGTTAATGATTTTGTTTTTAGCATCTGCCCCCAAAAGTCTCCAACAAAATGGCTGCCTGCTCAGCATCTGGTTACCCCCTCCCTCCTTCCTGGGAACCCTGATTTTGTCCAGATACCTCCCCTCTAGCACTGTCACCTCAGGAGAAGAGGAAGTCACCGCCATCTGCTGGGATGAACCTGACTAGCCCATGGGCTTCCACCCTCCTAGCCCACGATTCCATCAGGAATGGTTGTGTGACCCAGTATGGGCTCTTGAGACCTAAGGAGAGGTTGTCGGTGGATTTGGGAGCAGTTCCCCCTCCCTTTTCTGAAACATTTCCTAGAAACAGTCCTTTCTGTTTTCCTCTGGGCATTGTCATGCATGGACGTGGAGCCAGAATGCCTGCAGATATTTCACTACCGCACTGGGAAGAAGCAACAGGAAACCCAGACCCACTGGGTCTAGTCAACCATGAAGACCCCCTGAACTCTGGGCTGTCATTTATGAGAGTCTCTAGGTATGCTTATGGTTCAGTTTGGTTTGAGTTGGCTCTCCATCGCTTACAGCCAAGACATCCTTTCTGATCCATGGTGCAGTGGGTCTTTACTTCCATGAACATATACTAGGTTCTGCTAAGGGGTAGGCTCTTTAATTTTTTTTTTTAACCATTTTTGAGCACTTACTATGGGCCAGACATTGTACTGAGCATTACCTCCTTTAATCCTCATGAAAATTCTAAGCGAGTAAACACTGTTCTTATTCCCATTTTGCAGCTAAAGAAATTGGCAAGAGCTTAAGTAAGATCACACTACTAATAAGTGGAGCCAGAATTTGAACCCAGATCTAACTCCAAAGCTAGTAGCCACTATATTACATGACATCCAGCTAGGTAATATATTAATACAGCAATACCGTCTTGCAGGTGGGTAATTTGAGGCTCAAAAAAAATTTTAAGTGTTATATCTCTGATGCCTTCCACAAAGTAAGTACCAAATAAATATCTGTTGAATTGAATTGCCCAAAATTGGAAACAGGATCCAAGCCCAGGCCAATGTCTTTCTGAGAGATACTCCTCTTGACACATTTCACAATGACTTCTCCATTACAGGAAATGATGACGTCTAAAATGATCATGAAGATAAAATATGTGGTTGAAGTGATACTGTTCCTGATTTGTTATTTTGCCTTTGAGGGAAAAATATGAAGGCAGCAACTCAATTGTCCCAGCCAATTTTTTTTCTCTGAACATTATAGAACTCCCTCTTGAGGCCACGGCCATACCCTTGAATGCCAGTATATACTGAAATGAAGAATTCATGGGCAGGTCTATCAGCAATTTTACCTCCCACAAATTTCCAGGAAGTAAGCTGGCCTTGTCGAGTTAGTCCTCCACCTGTCTCTAGTGAAGGCCCTAGAAGCTTCCGGTGGTAAATGCTGCTTTTGTTCCAGGACTTTGTCAAGTCGATTACTTTGACCATGAAAGCAACCCTTTGGGGGTAGGCAAGGCAGGCATTACAGGATCAAGTCCCAACCCCTTGGCAGGGCATTAAGGACCCTACCCACCTCTCAGATTTGAGGCCTAACACTCCTTGCCTCCGGCTCCAGCCACTCTGGGCTGTTGTCTGTCCCCGAGCTCACCATTCTCCC